ATACCTATAGGCATGTTATCTACTGCATGTAGTAACGGAATATAAATACCCTATAGGCAGGATATCAAGCATATAGTAGTGAAAATATTTAAAAGAAGTGGACACCTAAAGCAGGTTTTCTACTCCATTCTCATGCAAACATTAAACTAGGCCCAGTTTTCCCCAATTCACTATTACCCCATCGTTATTACGAAATAATTATTACAGACCATAAGCAAATGAATAAATTACAAAATATTTAACGATAGGAAGCCTGCAGCAGGCTCAATGCATCCGGATAACCAGGCCTTCAAATGATAACAACTCCAAAGCTCAGAGATACACATTAACCATTGGCAAAGTACCAAGAACCCAAATCTCTAGTGTGTTAGAGTTCCCAAGGGCTTCGAGCACCCAGGATAGTGCTCACACTAGAGAACAAATGTTCAGAAGCAGTTCATATAGGTTTGGAAACCAGCCCTAATGTGTCAGAGTTCAGAGGAGTCTCATGGACCCTAAGCAATGCTCACATTGGGGGTGACAGGACCTTAGTTAACTATGAGTAGGATATGAAAATAGAAGACAATTTTGCTTTAGAAAAAATAGTTTGGATTTCAGAAGTGCATACAAGCAGATTACCAAATTACAAGAACCACAAGCAGCACACATTTAGCAGAAGGAGTTGAGCCATTAACTCCAGCAATCACAACAGACAGGACAGAGTAATTATTAGTTTGAACAAGGTGTCACATGGCCTTAATCCATTAGCTATTACTAGGTGAACGTACATGTATATATTAATCAGAGAACAACATGCTGGGATGAGACAATCATAGAGAAAGGTAACAAAAGTTGAGAGCATAGAAATCATGAATTAATCAGGAGTTTGTTAAGGGGTGAACACTTAAAACAGGACAGAACTCTTGCTAGTTGAGAAAACAAATAGATATATGTCCAACAGACATTCTGAAAACATGAAGCACATAGGTCTAATTTCATGGAAGTAGGCATGCTGATTAAGAGTAATAAACATGAAGCACATAAGTCTAATTTCATAGAAGTAGATATGCTGATTAAGATCAATAAACATGAATCACATAGGTCTAATTACATCATATTGGATGATAGCAGAAGTGGAGACATACTAGTTAAGAAATAGCAAACAGGAAGTTGAAAGTATGCAGGATCCAATAGTCTAGCCTTGGCTTGCGGCCAGCTAGACAATGTAGCAAACACAAGTAACAAAAAGGTTTAATTGAGAGCAAGGGCTTGTGTGTGTGTGTGTGTGTTTCTTTCTGAGTGTTCGAGTAAGTCTGAGTCTGTTTTGAAAATCAGAACAAGGAGGTTTTTATAGCATGCAATAGGGTAGGTCACATAAGATAATGAATCAATCACATATACATAAGGTATGAAAATCAATTAGCAATCAGTCAGGAATCAATTAAGAGGAAAGAATCAAATAAGTACCACTTAATTTAAGGAAAAATCTCACACAGAATCAATCTGTAATTAAGAGCAAGGTTAATAAGGAAAGAAATAATTTCCGGAATCAATTAGGAAACAGGACACACAATCAAGCCAATAATACGGATACATCAATAGGCTAAGAACAAGTAAAACAAAAATAAGGAAATATGGGTACTAAATTCAAATCCTAATTTAGATAAGTAAATAAATTAACAACTTAATTGACAGAGTTAAAGGTAACTGGAAAAAGACAACAGGATAAATAGTCAGAGAATCAGAACCCTAGAATATGTCAAAGGCATAGAGATGAAACTCAAAAAGGATCGGTCAAAATAGTAAAGAAGAAAACCAAAGTTGAAAGAATTTAAATGTCTAAGCATTTTGACCGAAAAGTCGTTAGAGATCAAAACCCTAGGGTTTTAGAACACAACCATGAGAATCAGTCGAACAAGTAAAGAAAATTAAGGTTAAACACCTAAAAAGTTAGTATTTTTCTGAAACTTAAAGGGGTGAAATCCTAGCTTTAGAGAACACAAAAAATCGGTTAATAATAAGAATACACAGAAAGATTTTTAAGAGAAATAACAAAATAAACTTAAAACTATCTCAGATCTACAAGGATCTGAACGGATTCGAGTAGCAAGAGATTAGGATTTTAAGAGAATGACAGAAATGAAAGAAAATCTGGTTTGGAACCATAGACTCACCATAAACACGAAGAAAATAGCACTGAAAATGGAGATGACCGTATGTAGGTTCGTAAACGGTTTTGAACAAACCTGAGTTGGATCTCTTAGAGATTCTTTCATAGAACAACAAAATCGAATAACCAGAAGAGGTAAGAGGCCGGTAGGGGCCTGAAATCACAGAGGAACCCCATGGAACGAGTAGTTTTCCGGTGACAGCGGCTTAGGTTTGAGGTTTGTTTGAGAGAGATGAGAGGAGGAGAGGATTCTGAGGCGGTGCAATTGAAGAGAATGGGTAGGGTTTGGGGGGTCGTTGGATTAAAAATGGAAAGGGGTAACGTGGACCGTTGATCTCAGAGATCAACGACCACGATTAGAGGAGGTTCTGGGTCGGGTAGGGGTCATTAAATTTGGGCTGCGGCGGATTGGGCTAAGATTTAATTTGAATTGGGCTGGGGGGGGGGGGGGGTTCTGAATTTACATATAATTAAAGGGGCTATTTGTTAAATACTCAATTTATTAATAAAATAGTTTGTAAAAAATAGCTAATTAAATGATAAAAATAATTTTTATGCATGAAGATGATTTAATATAATTACTTAACATTATAAAAATATAAAAGGTTATTTTCTTGTGAAATAAGGTAATTATGCACACATGGGCTATTATTTCAAAGTTATTACAATTATAGCCCTAACATGTACGTATGGCTATTTTTGAAATAACCAAAGCTCAGTATAAATATAAATGATAAAATTAAGCAAATAAAATTATCATAAAATCATTTGTGATGGAATTAGCAATTACTTAAATAACAAAATGCTGGAAAAAAATCCTTTAAAAATATAGAAAATTATGGAAAAATACTGGTTGATGTTCATGCACTATTTTGAAAGTATATATATATTTTGAAGTATCTGAGGGAAAAATTGGGTATCAACACACCTCACCACCGTAGGTGCAATTGCACCATACCTGTTGCACCTCAACAATGACCAAACTCACTTTGGGTTGTCCGAAACTCACCCGAGCCCCTCAGGACCCCGTCCGGGTATACCAACACGTCGAAACACATAATACAGACCTACTCGAGGCGTCAAATTACACAAAATAACATCAAATCCACGAATTACACCTTAATTCAAAATTAGTAAACTAATCCAAATTTCCTAATTCCAAACTAACGCTGAATATGCCTAAGCAACTCAGAATTACCCAAAATTTTACACAAGTTACAAATCACCATAAAAAGCTATTCTAAAGCTCGGAATCCCAAATGGATATCAATAACCACAAAGTCAACCATGGGTCAAATATATGAACTTCTAAACCTACAAGTTTCCAGTTTTTGCCAATTAGAACCAAATCTACCTAGGAACCTCCGAATCCAAATTCGAACATACACCTATATACAAAATCAGCATCGAGACCTAACGAATCATCAAAATATCATTTTAGGGTCGTCTACACAGATGTAAAACTCTGGTCAGCCTTCACAACTTAATCTTAAAAACTACGAACTATGTGTTCCAATGAAATTCAAAATCTCCCCGAAACCAAGCCAACCATCTCGCAAGTCGCATAATAACAAATACACCTACGACAAACATCAAATATGGGAAATGGGGCACAAATACACAAAATGATCGGTTGAGTCATTACATTCCCCCCTCTTAAACAAATATTCGTCCTCCAACAAGTATAGAGACATACCTGAAGTGCCAAAAAGATGAGGATATCGGCTGCGCATATCATGCTCGGTCTCCCAAGTCGCCTCCTCGACTGGTTGACCTCTCCACTGGACCTTCACTGATGCAATCTTATTCAACCTCAGCTTTCAAACCTGTCTGTCTAAAACGGCTACCGGATCCTCAATATAGGTCAAATCCTCATCCAATTGCTCCAAGCTGAAATCTAACACATGTGACAGATCCTTATAGTACTTATGGAGCATGGAAACATGAAACACTGGATGAACCCTCGATAAGCTGGCACTACTAGCAAACAAATTTATTGGAACGGTTTTTGGGCAACGGTTTTGTAACTGTTACAATAGATTATATTTTGGAGCGGTTTTAACCGTCCCAATAGAGTCAAAAGGCTTCTGGCACACTTCTGAACGATAACCGTTCCAATAGAGTATTAACCGTCACCATAAGTATCTGTATGGAGACGGTTTTTATATGCGATACAGTAAGTTTGTTTGTGGGAACGGTTTTGTGAAATAAAAAGCTATTGGGTCGGTTTAATTTTCCGTCCTCCGTTTCCCTCTTAGGTATTTATTAAAAACCAAAAATAATGGACCCCACTAATATTTTAATACTCTCTAACACAAAACCAACCTAGAAGACATGGACTTCACTCTCAACAGCGATTTCCCCAAAATCCCAAACACCTCTCTCTCTGTTCAGCAACCTAGAATCCACCGGCGAACTCTATCGACAATCTCTGGTGAAGGACTGGTGAAGGACGACCACGATCGGCTAACATACCACAATCTCTGAGGCAGGCTTTCGGATTTTCACCTGCTCGATGTTTGTTGTTACTGTTCGATTTTGATTTCTTCTTCCCTAGTCTGAATTTTTTTTTCATTGCTCCTTCTATTTTCTTTCTTTGATAATATTTTTGATAAACCCATTATTTTGCTTCTGTTTTGTTTGTATTATTCGATATATTTGGTAATTTTTGGTTTTCGAAATTGGGGGATTTATTTGTTAGATTTTGATTTTGTGTTAGAAACCATGAGATTTGATGTTGGCTATCAATGTTCGATGTTCGCTGTCTTGTTTGTTATTCTGAAAATGGTTATTCTGTATTACGTGTCAGTGGTTAAAACTTTGCCCCTGAAATTTATCCATTTGCAGAGTATTTTATCCTTTTCTGTTCCGCTTTTCTTATCTTTGAAACATTGGGGAAGAGAACTAATCTAGCAAAGATCAAGCATCAAGCTAACTGCCTATTGTAGGCCCAGTTGTTACAGAAGGTGAATTTGTTTTTTCTCTCTCAAAATACTAATCTGAACATTAGAATAGGTAGGAAATGGATGAAAGGAATCTATTCCCCTTTATGGTCCTTGTGTGTTTATTGGATGTGGTAGGCCAAAGAGAAATAATTGAAAAAATTGAAGGCTGCACAAAAAGCGGAATTAGCAGCAAAACAGGTGAAATTTATTTACTTTATTTTATTATTTGATAAGGTGAAATTTTATTAAGACAGACCGGTAACAGGTGTGTGCTCTAGTTTCATAGAGGAACAGAAATAAATGTTAGACTTCACATATTCCACAGTGAGCTAATAAAATCATATATGGCAGTCAAAATCATTTACAACAGCCATTTTGTTCCAACATAAAAAGCAAAACAGTACATTTGATCTTAAGACTAAGTATATAATCCTTTTGGTCTTTAAACATTCTGGAGTTGCTTTTTCTCCAAATTACCCACCAAACCACTGCCTGGATGGAATTTCATGTCATCAAGGAGAGACTCCCTTTTACTTACTTACAGTGAATGGCTGAATGCTCATATAGGCCCAGAAATTAAGAAAATGAAAAATCTATACAAAGTATGATAAAGATGGACTTAACTGGTATCTTTTCATTTGAGACAATCACTTGGTAAATTTTGTTGCTCAATAATTCGGGAGGGAATTAAGCTGAGATGAAAGTCTTGCTTGTTACTGTGTACCTGGTCTAGCTTGGACTCCTTTATCCTGAGCTGGTTACCTCTTTGTTTAAATGCAGGTCTCGCCCCCACCAAATGTGACTGATGCTCTCCATATAGGACATGCACTGACTGCTGTCATCGAGGTATCAGAATCACCGAGCCTAGTACTGAGGTTCATCTATTTATACGGATTTTATATTTTATCTTTGTTTCCAGGACACAATTATTCGTTGGCGGAGAATGTCTGGATACAATACTTTGTGGATCCTAGGGATGGATCATGCTGGGATAGCGACCCAGGTGTGTCAAACATGTCAAATCATGAGTTTAACCAGTTTTCATGTTTGTTTGCATTTGCAGAGTATATGGAACTATGTGAGATAGGACTTCTGTTAGATTCTGTGTTATGAGGGGCATGATGTTCAGACAGATACACTTATTAAAAAAAGATATTATACAGATGTGTGTGGAGTTCCTTTTTAGGTTTTGCTAACTGCTGTCACTCAAGAAGAAAATTCTATATATACTGCTCTGGTGCCTGAAACAAAACTCGTTCAGAGTTTGAACATGATATGCAAATTGCTAGAGACAGGCTTTTTGGATCATATGTCAATATTCAGAAAAGAAAGGTGGACTAAAGTAATAATATTTTTCTTAAATTAGAAGGCACCAGTCGCGCTTGGGAAAAAAATCTCAGCATCATATTCTCCCAAGTCAGTGTTTACCATGGATGAGAAAAGGTCTAAGGCTGTTACAGAAGCATTTGTTAGGCTGTCCGATGAAGGTCTTATATACAGGTATGTAGCTCTTTTTCTTCCTCTGTCTACTATCTGTTCTCATTATGTGCATGTGAATGTCTTCTTGCCTATGGATAGGATGTACCCATTTTCTTGAGTGCGCAAGTTTCTTTAGTTTTGGCTCTATATTAACCTCTAGTTATCATCTATCAAGGGCTCCACGTATGGTGCATTGGGATTGTGTCTTGCGTACAGCAATCTCTGATATCGAGGTGAGCCAAGTCGTCCTTCAGTATCAAGTTTTAGATGGTGTAGCAAATACTTCTTATACACTGTAGAATCTGCTTGCTTGTTGTAGGTTGAATATGCAGACATCAAGGAGAAGATATTTCTGAATGTTCCTGGATATGAAGAGCCTGTGGAGTTCGGGGTGCTGACATCATTCATGGGAAATTTGCTATTCATCCATTCAATGGAAGAAAGCTTCCAATAGTTTGTGATGAAATGCAAGTAGATATGAACTTCGGGACTGGTGCTGTTAAGGTTTTATATCCTTATATTTTGAATGTGGAGAAACAATTCCTTGTATATCCAAATATCCATCATTGCTTATGGACTATTTCTCTAAATATCCTTGCAGATAACTCCAGCCCATGATCCTAATGATTTTAAGCTTGGACAGCGTCACAAACTTGAATTCATTAGTATTTTTACTGATGATGTGAAAATAAATAGGAATGCAGGTGCATACTTTGAAGGAATGCCTCGTTTCAAAGCTCGTGTCGCTATGACTGAAGCTTTAAAGTAAAAGGAACCTTGATAACTTTTTTGTAATGTCTTATCTGGAAATGAAATGTTAACACACTTGCGTGCATGTATGTATGGAAATTTGTTCTTATTTATGACAATTTATGAGGTCTTGCATGTAAAAAATCCATGGATGTGATATACCCACCAGCATCTGAAATATCCATGTTTGTACCCATGTCTATCCAGCATGAGTATGTCAAGGTATATGAAGAAATTGAAATACAATAGCCATAAAGGTTGGTCTACCTTTATATATTCTTTCTCTGTTTGAACCCATCATTCCATGTCCAGGAAAAGGTAAACAAATTGTGCTCAGGCATGTGTTAGCATAAAAGAAAGAGTATTTCGACAATGTAAGAAGTGTGTTGTACATGTTCTAAAAAAATATATATTCTATTGGACATTGTGTTTATGACCATTCTGTAAAATCCATGGTTCAACTTTGAAGGGTGCCTAATATACAAGTACCTTCAAACATAATTTCCAATTTGCTATATGTGTGTGTGCACGCGCGCGTCTCTCTACATATGTATTTGCTATGTGTGTCTGTCCGCACACTATGATAGTATAGCCTAGGCCAACATACTTAAGATGATTCATTATAAAAAATCCTGTATTTATTATTATTAAAGTATCATCGAAGTATTGGCTTTTCATATTTCTAAATTAAACTTGAAATATTCTTTTGTACACGTCCATAAAATGGAAAATAAAATAGAAAAGGAAATTATTAAAATAAAAATCAACTTTGGTTCAGCCAAATACAGCTGAAAAATGTCCTTTTTCTATTACATGTGCCAACCGAGATGACATTTTTCTACCACCTTTAACAACCATCAACTTTAGCCTATGATCTCTCTTTCTATCATTCTCCATTGACACGTAATGTGATGGTGGTTGAACTCCATATAAATCTACATCTACTGTGTAGTCTCATAAGTATTCTATCTTATTTATCTTAGGCAGGTGAATAGCAAACGAGGAAACTCATAAGAAGAGGTCTATTGTGGAGGTAATAGTCTGATACTATCAGTTGATACAGGACATCCATAGTAAGTGTAATACCATCAAATTACAAATAGCCAGCAGCAACTCGCTCGTCCAGATTGTGAATGATAGTTTTCTCACTTACGGAAATTATTCTTATCCAATTTGTGCTTCAATCACTGACTTCTGCTAGATCCATAATTTGAACATTTATCGAACTTAATCTAGACTGAAAATTGCATAACTTTGAAAATCTGTGCTTTGAGGTTTTTCCCTTTACCTGGTTTTACATTCTTCTCTTCAATAAAGGTTGGGATGCATACATAAGACCCTGAGACTTTTAAATTGGCCAGGTTTCATAAATCTTCCTTGGTTTGATGTATTATGCCTAACAACTATAAAGGCTTATAGTTTATTCTCCAACAGGAAACATGTATATCATGTAAGACATGTAAGATATGCATGTTCCATCTTTGCTGCTAAGAAATTATTGATAGAAATTAGTATATCTTTGCTTTAGTACAATTAATAAAGGTGCAATCTTTGCTGCTGCTCGTTAGTGGTTGTCACATGATGCATCTGTGTTTTTGTTGCGGCCGTGAAAAGTGTAATCTTGAATTAAAAATTCTACTGCTGGGTTAGAAATTTTGTTGTGCTGGGCTGCTACTCGTTAGTCATAATTCTGCTGCTCGTAAAGCCTTTTTTAGTAATTATGAATAATAGAATACTCAACTTTGCTTACCGATTCCCTTTTTGTATGATTTTTAGGCTAACTTTATTTCTGGTTTGAGGCTTAATCCTTGTCCAGGAATTGAATTAGGCCAAAGCTAGGCTGATAATTTGTGGAATGCAGCCTCTGATGCAGGAAGGCTTTAGTATATACTATGTTTAGTTATAAGCATATTTGACATTTCATCTTTGGATGGCTAGGTGCCATTTATATGTAAACAACAATTGTGGTTGATGATAACTTTTTATTGAGTTCTGATGCAGGTATTCTATTTTTGCTTCTGCAGTTCTGCTTGCTTAGGCTCTAAAGTCTTAACAGTGTTATTAGCACAACGTGATTCTATTGTTGTTTTGGTTCAATAGCTGTCAGACATAATATTGTTTAGGTGATATTGTTTTGGTTCAGTAGTTGTCAGCCATAGTAGGTTCTGCATAGTCGTATTTACAAATGATGTTTTGACCAGGTTGAAAATTTTGTGATAGTCATATATACAAAGGAAACTCTGCCGAAAAATTTTAGAATTTAGAGAGTTTGAAAATTTTCGAGTTATCAAATTTAAAAAAAAAATTCTTGCATTGCTTATTAACTGAATTTGTGCTTGAAGCTGCTTTAAGTACTTTATGACTCAATTATCCTAAAAATTTTGTTTGATTATTTCTCACTGTCTTTTGTAGGTGCAACAATTGCGGATGAAAGCAGTGACGAAGACCTTACTTGAGTGTTGTTGATCTTTGTTAGGCTTTCTATTATTATGTTTAAGGATATATTTTAGTTTAGAACTTTTTGTATGCGAACTATCTATTTTGTCTTTTGAATTGTCGACCAAACAATGTAGCCATATTTTGTTTTTGTACATGGCTAATGCTAGTTGGATATGGTGTAAACAATTTCACGGAATAGGAAAATATTTCTTATTTTGCTTCCATAAATATTATAATTTGTTGCAATAGAGACTATAACTATTCCAATAGACCTAGCAAATAATAAGAGCAACCCCTAATAACCGTTCCAATATGTCACAATTTCGTTGCAATAGGGTACTGATAATTGTTCTAATATATCACAAAAACCGTTGCAATAGACTTAAAAAATCAACTGTATTATTATACCAGAACAGATTATAGTTCCAACAGAAAAGAAAACCTTCCTACAGATAGGACAATGGTGCAGTCCAAGCCGTTGCAATATCCCTATCTATGAGGACGGTTTTCAAACCATTGCAAATAACCGTTCCAATATACCTATAGTAACGCCGAATCCTGGGACGCGTCCAAATCCGTCCCAATATACCTATAGGGACGGTTAGCCTATCTATTGCAACAGTTTTAGAAGGGTTGCCATAGCTGTAATTTCTAGTAGTGTGGGTGGCAAACCAAGTTAGTATGACACTTCACCAACTCTCCCTAGAATCTCAAAAGGGCCATATATCGAGGGCTCAACTTGCCCTCATTCCCGACCCTCATCACACCCTTCAAGGGCGAAACTCTGAGTAGAACCCTTTCACCCACCATGAATGCCACATCGCAGACCTTCCTGTCGAATAACTCATTTGCATGGATTGCGCTAAGCTGAATAAATTTCACATTCTCCAAAGCATCACAAACCAGATCAGTGCCCAACAATCTAGCCTCTACAGGTTCAAACCAACTAGTCGGAGTACGACATCGCCTCACATATAAGGCCTCATACGGAGCCATCTAAATGCTCGACTAGTAGCTGTTGTTGTAGGCAAACTCAACCAACAATATAAGCTGATCCCACCGTCTCTCGAAATTAATATCAAAGGCTTGCAACATGTCTTTCAAGATCTGAATAGTATGATCGATTGTCCGTCCGTATGTGGATGAAATGTCGTACTCATATCGACCTGTGTGCCTAACTCACGCTGAACTACTCTCCAAAAATTAAATATAAATAGAGTTCCTTGATCCGAGATAATAAACATAGGCACACCATGAAGGAAAACAATCTCTCTAAGATAAATTCGAGCCAGGTGCTCGGAAGTGTAGGTAGTCACGATTGGAATGAATGTGCAAGACTTGGTCAGTCTTTCCACAATGACCCATACAACATCAAACCTCATCAAGGTCCGTGGAAGCCCAACCACAAAATCCATAGTGATACTCCCCAACATCCAGTTTGGTATATATAGACTCTAAAGACAACACCAGGTCTCTGACATTTGTACTTAACCTGCTGACAGTTCAAGCACTATGTCACTACTCAATAATATCTTTCTTCATCCTTCTCCACTAGTAGCAGTTCTTCAAATCATGTTACATCTTCACGGCACCGGGATGAATGGAGTACCACGAACTATGGACCTCTTCAATAATCAGCTCCCGCAAACCATCCACATTAGGAACACAAATCCGGACTTGAAGTCTTAATAACCCATCATAACCAATAGTCACCTCCTTAGCATCACCGTGCTACACCATGTCCTTAATGACAAGTAAGTGGGTATCATCATATTGATGTTCCTTGATGCGCTCAAATAAGGACATCCGTGATAAAACAGAAGCAAGAACCTTGCTAGGCTTCAACATATCCAAGATCATGAACTTGTTAGCCAAATCCTTAACATCCAAAGCTAACGATCTCTCCCTAGTTGGGATAAAAAGAAAGACTCCCCATGCTCACCGCCTTACTACTCAAAGCGTCGACCACCACATTGGCCTTCCCGTGATAATAAAGAATGTTGATATTATAGTCCTTTAGTAGCTCTGACCGCCTGTGTTGCCTCAAGTTTAATTTGCTTTTCTTGAATAGATGATGCAGACTCCTGTTATCTGTGAACACCTCACAAGACACACCATAAAGATAGTGCCTCCTAATCTTGAGCACGTGCACAATAGCCGCTAACTCCAAATCGTGTACTAGGTAGTTCTCCTCATGGGGATTCAACTGACGTGAAGCATATGTAATCATTCTACCATCCTGCATCAGTACACACCCAATGCCAACCCATGAAGCATCACAAAAGACTGTATACGAACCCGATCCCAAAGGAAAAACCACAACTAGAGCTGTAGTCAAGGCAGTCTTGAGCTTCTAAAAGCTCTCCTCACACTCATCAGACCACCTGAATGGGGTGCCCTTCCGCATCAATCTAGTCAATGAGGCTGTTATAGATGAAAACCCCTCCACAAAATGGCAATAATACCCATCCAACCCAAGGAAACTCTAGATTTCTATAGAAGTAGATGGGCTGTGCCAACTTTGAACTGCCTCAGTCTTCTTTGGATCCACCTTAATGCCCTTCCTAGACACCACGTGGCCAAAAATGCCACCGAGTCTAACCAAAACTCAGAGTTGGAGAATTTAGCATATAGATTCTTCTCCCTCAAAGTACGGAGCACCTTCCTCAAGTGCTGCTGA